GATGGGAAAGAACAAAAATCGAATTTTCAGAAGTAGGTCTCTCGTAAATTAAAATCTATGAACAAAGCGTTATTAGCCAAAAACAGAATCAGAGTACTGGGATAATTTATTAGAATAATTAGATCCTTTGACGATTCTATAAATAGATTAACCGATTGCAATTTTAGCATGATATAATAAATTTTGCAAATAATATTAGAATAATAATAAAATACTACTGACATGTTATCATTTTTCGGCCGTTGTTAGTGTTCATGGCGTTTATGGGACATTAAGAGACACAATGGGTAGTTACAATTGCGCCTTCACCGTGATTGTTACATGTGAAAATCATAGTAACGCGGGTTACATGATGTTCTGATATTAATTAATGTTTACTCTACCGCTGCTTTGGTTGCAAGCAGCCTCTCGTTATATCCTAAGTAAACACGGTGCATGTAATCTGACATGTCTCGCGGGGATACTTCGTGATTATGTAACAACAATGCTGTAAAATGACCTACGATATCCGACCGTCGTCCGTATTACGTCGCGGTGCAACATTGCGGAGGTATGAAAGAATATGTTGCGGTAGTACAGCTAAGTTAATATAAGAGAATTCTTGCCGATGATATTTATGTGTTTCTCGAGTCCAGTGTAAGGCGTGATAATGACGCAATAATGCCTTAATCTTATAAAAGCTTGTTTGAGGAGAAACAAAGAAATCCAAATCCTTTGTGACCGATAATCGTCTACAATTGCTAATGCCTTAGTCAAGCTAGTAAAGTTTCTGGCGTTTGAAAATCCTTACCTTTCTGGCAGAGAATAATCTCGTTTAGTCTTCGCGCATTCATCAATTTGCGTACAAAGGACTTTGCTATAACGTCGCGTTTTTGATTTCTTCACTTTTCGCCAACTAAGCGTGTCATCACACCGAGTGCTTTGCAGCTAACGTAAACTTCACGTCGATAAAAGAAAGTTAATTAAAATTTGGAATTAAAATATCTGTGCGTTTTAGAACATTGCTGCGGCTTATCGGAGAATAAGAAATATCACCTCGATTTAAATTCAAGTAATAGTGCATTCCCTCCTTGAAATACATTCAGCGTTTTCGATTGCGCGCATATAAACACTCTGTGCATCACGTACGCTCACACAAGCTCGCAAAAGTATTTCTCGAGAATCTATTTCTGTCGCCGGCTTTCCGTTCGACGATGCAAGTTTGTCTTTCCAACGATGCATAAGTTACCCAGGGAAATCCTGGTTTCGCAATGGATATCTGATCTGGGGGATATCCCTGAATAAAGGACGGAATACGATGCGTCTACAACATACTCGTGAATTCAAATACTCGAATAGAATTGTATGAAGGTGGTATAAATTATCATTTATTGAAGTCAAATAATGTGTAAAGTATATGATACTTGAAAAAATGAAATAAAAGATACATAAAAGCTGTATTATAAATATATACATTAAAATTATATAGCTCAAATAAAATAACAAATATAACTTAAAATACATAATTGCTTTGTCATGTGAAATAATAGTTCAAAAATAAAATATTATCCTCCCTGGCTCTCCTACCTTGCAAAATGAAAAAGAAATACA